TTATTATATTGTTTATAAATTCCGTCAGAATTTGCTAGTAAAACAGTCAAAAATTGTCTGTTGCTAGTTGCAAAGTCGAAATAAACCGCAGGCGCAAATATTTCGTCGTTGTCTTCAAACAAATTTTGTTAACTTTTGTCCTTCCTCCCCATGGTACAAGCCTCTCATTAAAAAACTAATGTTAAAAAATTAGGATAACACTCGTAGTTGATTAAGAGTGGTAACTTAAACTAAGACTAGATTAAGACTAAGGTTGGTTAAGATTCCTACGATAAAATGCAGGCTTTTATTTAAGACTAAATAAAAGACGGTGATGTTATCTAAAGTAAGAGATGTTAAAAAGATTGAATTGGTTTCGGTTGATTTGTTGCATATCATCAAAGATAGTGCGCAAACTCCAAGTCTGCCAAAAGCCGTTGCGCTTTTGGCAGGTGTATATAAATTAACAACGTAAAGGTCAACGATCAGTATAGAGATTAAATGATCACACAATAATACCTTTTACATTCCCCGCAAAAATTTTTCTAAAACCTATTACTTTCGCCTCGCAAGAAAAAAGAAAGTAATTAAGCGCTAGGATGAATGAACAAGTGGGCTCGTTGGCCAAGACCCCCAAAAGTGGATTTGAATTGCTAGAGACATAATCTTTATAAAGCACCGAGGGCCAAAAAAGCGTATTTCATACTAACAAAAATTTAATACACGGTTACTAGGTCGGAGGAACGGGTGTACGGTTCGGGAAGGACCGCGCGAACAGGCCCGATGGGCCGGAAGACGTATTCTTCAAGTAATAACACAAAAGAACAAAAACAAAGCACCTTAGATCAAATAGCATGTTTTCGTCAGGTGAAATTAAATATAGGCCAGTTACTATGGACGAGCAAGGAATTGGAATAGCACTGGGGTGAATGAGGCAGTAAGTTAGGCAGGGAAATATCCCCTAAGGCAGGCCAAAATAAGAAGCAGTACTAAGATGGATATATCTAATGGTTATCCAGTGGTAGCACCCAATGGGTGAAAGAGAATTTTAACGACATTCAAGCGAGGTTATGGGGATCAAATAAAGCTTTAAGTGTTATCAAAGTAATCTAAGTTTTTGGCGTATTATGCACGCACTGGAATCTTATAAGACTCTAAAAGCGATGGAATGCTAAGTAACATTCAACACTAAATAGGATACTAGAGTACTAAGAGTTTTTAATGGAGTTTTTGAGAGTTTATGAAAGTTTATGATAGCATCTAGACTGAAACTCCTACTTCTCTTTCGTTTCCCGATTTGCCGCTTTGTTAATTGTCCATCTCCTTAACTCCTCCAGCGTCATTGGCCGTCCTAGGAGTTCTATCGCCGAAATGATAGAGGAAGTGTTCAGCCAGTCTGGGTCAGGTACAATGTGAGCAGATGTTGAAGATGAGGTTTCGGAGGGTAGGCCCGATGGGTCAAATTGAGTGGTACGGACCTCAGGACTAAATTTGACCTTCTTGCGAGGAGTATGTTGGTCATCTGCTACCGAGGGCTTTGGATCATTTGGGTAGGCAGAGCTTTCTTCCCGCAAGTGAATTATAGTGGGACGCGAAGATGAGGGTGGTGTTAAGGTTGTCAGGTCTACTAAGTCGACTTGGTGGCTTTCCATTTCTACGGTAGTTGCTTCTATCGTTGTATAAGCTGGGGCAGGACTAGATGAATTAAATGATGGGCCGTCCTGCTCTTCATTTGTTAAATCAACTACACTGGTAAACACTCTCTCGCCTAGCATCTTGGGAGGCTGTCTAGTTCGCATAGGTCTGGTGTTCTGTCGTGTAAAGATTTCTGACAATTTCTTCGAGGGTGGTGATTTCGTTGGAGATGACGCTTTCCTCTTCGCGGTACCGGACAGTTTCGGTTTTTTAGTGGCAAGGTCAGAGTATAGTTGCTTAGATTCCGCCTCCGCCATGGCGATTGGTTCTACACTAATCTCGGTAAATTCCCCTCCAGGATTCTCCGGAAGAAACGGCTTTTCTTGATTAGGTTGATTGGCCTCCTCAATAATGTCCAAGAGAACCAACTGTGGGGTCACCTGTAGGTCCCTTTCATTATCACCAGAATCCAAGTCGATCAGGGGAATCTTATCCAACTCGACCTTCTGTTCAACATGGTCCGGTATTTCTGGCTTACGATCTGTTCGGTCGGAGATTAGATGTTCATCCGATTTTGTAGCTTCGAGTAATGTTTTATCCTTGAGGTCTTTTAGCAAAATTAGGTCGCTAGCATTATCGTCTGAAATCTCCTCATGTGGTTCGATCATCAATCCAGGTTCATTTACGCATTTTTTTCGAAGGTCGGGTTTACCCGACGGGCTTGATTCTTGCTCACTTTCAAGGCCTATTGGGATTCTCAATCTCTTCCTCTGTTCTTCTTCCTCTCTGAGAAGAGTTTCTCTAGAGCTGTTCATGGCCGCGTTTCGCCTCGCAATATCAAGCTCTTCGAATTTCCACTGGAGGTTTTTTTTCTTTTGCGTCGTTCTTGAGCTTTTAAATCCGACATTTCTCGGCGGTTTTGTAGTTTTCCTCAGTCCTTTAGTCGCATAGAATCTAACTAGTTGATCTCGTTTTCTCGGGCTGGGTTTCTTCTGAGTGCATTGTCTTTTAATGGCTAAATCAGATTTACGTATTATTTTACCATTTTTTAAGGTAACTGTGTGGTCTGACTCCCTTACAATTTCATCCTTGATTACTCTATAAAATGGTTCACTTTTCGTTCTATCTTAGACTTTTCGATAAATAGTGGTCTTACCCGGCGGGTTATTCAATATTGAGTCCTTTATGCCCAAGGCATCTCTCTTTTCTGCCCGAGAAAGCACTTTTACTGGGGATCCAGCACTGGTTGGTACGTATCTCAGTGCATTTGAGATATCCTCCGAGGACGATGAGTTTTCGTCAACATCTCCATCTTCTATATCATCGGGGGCGTCCCAGTCGTGTCTTCGCTCTCGGCTCATTAGTTTTTTGCCCTTATCTATGCATAACAAAGTTTTATTCCAATCGAGGTTATTCGAAGAGGGTGATTTGACCAAATTATGCCAGATGGTGTTTGGGGATCTACCAAAATGTGCTTCGAAGGGAGAGCAGTTAAGCGACTGTTGAGTTACCGTTCTTAAACATTTTATTATTTTCAAAAGTGCAGATTCTAGCGAAGGTTTTGGACGTTCTTGTGCCATAACCAAGAGTCTTTCCTTAATGGTTCTGATTAAACGTTCCACTAGTCCGGTAGCTCTATAATCACCCACTGGGCTAAATATCATCTTTATATTGTGATCGTGGCAGAATTCTCTGACTTCCTTGGAGATAAAACCAGATCCTTGATCTGTTCTAATGGTTCTAGGTATCCCGTGTAAAGCAATGTATTTACTAAGGAAGTTTATGATAGATTTTGCCGATGTGCTGGATGTCATTTGAGCTGATGGGAATTTTGAAAATCTGTCCACACACACTAATATGTATTTTTTTGTTCCCCATACTAAAGGTAACGGACCGGCGAAATCTAATTCCATTTCTTGGTTTGGCTCTTCGATCGTTGGGAGTTTTCCTAGGGTATTGTGTTTTATAAGAGGTTTCAAATTTTTACCTGCTTTCACGCACTCAATACAGTTTTCGCCGTGGGCTTGAATTTCGCGGTAAATTTTCGGCCACCAGATGTATTGAGTTGCCAGACTTTTCATTGCAAACTGGCCAGGGTGAGCTTCGTGTAGTCGGTTGAGCATTGTCGATCTTAGGCATGCTGGGATAACTAACCGATTGTCCAGATAAAGACATCCTCCGCTGACATGTAAATTATTTAAGTACGATTTATAGTAGTTTCCCAGTTGTAGAATATCTTGTTTGCGGTCTTCCTCAATTGCTTTAATTATCTTTTTCAAGATCTTGTTTTGATAAGAGGGACATAAATTTTGAATCAAAATTTTCTAGCCAAGAAAAAGGGAATATATTGACTATTTTCTTTTTACTAGGTGATCTTTTCACGGGATTATCCGACGGGTTACTGATACTTGGTGTTAAAGAGTCCATGTTTTCATTAGTAATAAGTTCTTTCTGTTCGTTAAATTCAATTTGTTCTGCCATTTCTTTCAGGATGTTAAAATTCGTAAAAAAGTCGTTTATTTTGCAAGATGAGTCACACTGTTCTGTACGCGAGTGAGAATTTTGGCACACTGAAATGTTGGAATAGTTAGCTATCGCTTGGAACGTTTCAGCGGCATTAGCAATTCGTTTCTCGCGTTCTATTTCTTGACTGGTCATATGATCTGTTGACTGGCCAATCGTGTTGCAGGAAGTGACGTCATGTGCTAAGAAATGTTGAGAGAATCTATTTCTTATTTGCGACCACGAGTTTTTCGGCATTAGGTGATCAAAACCTAGGAGCGTACTAATCTGATTTACTGAAGTGATAACAAATTTTTCGTCATCCAGAGAAACTGGTACGGGTTCACCCGATGGGTGTCGGGATATATAATCAACGAATCCCATATCTTTACCGGGTAAATGTTCGACGGTAAAGTCGAACGGTAGTAGTTTGTCCGCCCAACGGGTGAGACGTGATTGGGCCGTTTTAGTATATTTATCGTCTTTCAGTGCTCCTATTAAGGCTTTGTGGTCTGTTAAAATTGAGAATTGTTTGCCCAGTAGGTAATTTTTGAAATGGTCTAGTGCCCACACTAATCCCAGTAGTTCGAGTTCATTAGTGCTGTATTTTAATTCGGCAATATTCAAAAATCGGCTAGCAAACGCTACGGTCTTCCAATTCCCCCGATGGTCTTGTTCGATGGACGCGCCCAATCCTAAATGTGAGGCATCGCATTTCACTCGAGTGTCCAGTTTTACATCGAAATGATGGTTCGTCACCGTATTACAAATTTCTTTCTTGATTTTTTCTAAACGCTTCCGTGTGTACTGTGGACCACTTAAATGGTTTATTTTTTTGCATAAGTTCTCTAAACGGTGTTGATAGGGACGCTAAGTTTGGTATGAACTTATTAAATTGATTAATCGATCCCATTAATGATCTGATATCTTTAATACAGTTTGGTTCCTTCAGGTTTCTGATTGCGTCAGATTTATGTATTAGTGGTGTCGTCCCTTTTGCGTCGATTCTAAATCCCACCCATTCTATGTTGTGAGTTAAGAATGTGCATTTTTCCCATTTTATGGCTAGTCCCTCGTCATCTAGTGTTTTTAACACGTTAATGATTAACTTTTTATGTTCCTCCTCGCTACCCACGGTGGCGATTAGGATGTCGTCGAGATAACAATGGGTATTTGGTAATTTTTCCGTCAGACGGTCCATTATGCGTTGAAATTCATTAGACATATCGCCTAGTCCGTAAAATCCGGTTTTAAAACGGTAGGAACCCGTTACTTCTCCCCTCCACGATGTTAAAATTACACTGATTACTTGCCTTTTTAGAAAGCGGTATTTGACTGTAGGCGTATTTTAGATCAATCGATGAAAACCAGATGTTTCTTTCATTGTGGCCGCTAATCGTAACTGCTACGTTGTCAATTAGTTCGAATAGGTTCGGCATTTGATATCTATTACGAAATATCTGTTTGTTTAATAGTTTTGAGTTCAATGCTAGTTTGATTGATCCGTCCCTTTTTGCTGTAATCACGATAGGGGAGATAAAACAATCTTCAGAGCATCTAGATAATTTTTCGATGTGTCCGTCTCTTAGTAAATGGTCAATACATACTTTGACTTTAGGGAGAAGATGGGTCGGGATACGTTTCCCTTTCACCTGTATCGGTTTTAACGGTTCGTTAAAATAAGTATTAACTACGTAGTTTCTTGATCTACCCGTTCTTTTTATGAGGTCTGAAAAGTGTTTTGATATATATGTTTCAAACTCACTTTGAGATGGTGTCTCTTGGCTTTGATCCTGTTTGTTATCCGATGCGAATTTTATTTGGTTGACGTTTGTCCCAATGGGTGATGCTTTCTGGTCTTTCCATGACTTTGGCACATTGGGTGGGGGTTGTTTCTGAAATACTACGATTCTCAGATTCGGTAGGATGTCGTTTCCCAGTAGATTTTTTTCAGCCCCTTCGGTGATGAAAAGTTTTTGGTCGTTAGCCTCCCATCCCTTCGATCGGATTTTCACTCGAACTCTTCCAATAATGTTGACTGTACTCCCGAAGCCCTGGTATGCTTTGTTTGTTATTTCGTCCACAGGTCGTAGCTTTAAAAATCTATCTCGTATCTTCAATTCGTGTAGTAGATCTTTTTTCATGAAAGAAACTGGACTTGCTGAGTCAATTTGAATTTCGGTATAGTAAGGGTTGAAATTTCCCAGAGATACCTTCAGTGTCTTTTTCAGTTCTTGTCCTTCGTGGTTGAATACTGTTCTCACTCCGCGCTCTATTTTGTCTTCTACAGCATTTATTTGGCTATCTGTGTCTACAGCTACAACTAAGAAATCGTCTAAGTTGACCTCAAATTCGGGATTTTCCTGCGGGTTGGCCCGGATATTTTCGTTTTCTTGAGGTACTCGATTCTGTTCGACGATGTTTGTTTGTGTTCTTGCTGAACTCCTACAATGTTTAGCAAAATGTCCTTTGCGTCCCCGCACGTATTGCAGTTTCTATCTCTGGCAGGGCATGTGGTTAAATGTCCTTTTTTGAATTGCTGACCACAGTTGCGGCATTTGTTATTTTCAACGATGTTTAGGGTTGGTTCATTCTTTACGTATTGTGGTCTTGGTACTGCGTTATAAGTTGGAAATTTTAAGTACTATTGATGGATTTTAGTACCTTTTTTGTGAACTAATACGAAAGATAGTACGTTTTCTGGGGTCAAGTATTCTATGCATAGTTTCTTTTGGATCTCGACATTTCTCATGTTTGTGATGAAAATGTCTCTTACTAATTCTGACTCGAGTTCCCCCAGTTTACAATTTTTTGCTAGTTCAGAAACTATTTCGTGGAATTTTTCTAAGGACTCATGTTCTTTCTGTCTTCGGCCAAAAAATTTAAATCTTTCGTATGTTAAGTTTGTAGTGATCGTGAAGGTAGTTTTTAGAGGTTCCCAAAATTCTGCGAAATTGATATCCAGAATTCTTTTATCAGCGTTTTTATGAGAGAAGCATTTCTGTCCTTCTTTTCCGAGTGCTAGGTATAACTGTGATTTTAGCTTCTTATCAATATCTTCGATTTGGAGTCCGTTAAATTTTGCGTTATCTTCCGCCCTTCTCCTTCTCACTTCTTCGTTATAGTTTTGTACTGCTATTCTGTGGTGTTCTTCTTTTTCGGCCCGACGGGCTTGATCATCGGACGGGTCCGGTGGTTCTGCCGTAGGGTAAGTTAGTTCGTTTCTTATCGGTGGGTTAATTACATCTTCGATGTCTACGGAATCTTTCGCGATAATTGTCAATTGAAACTTTTCCGACCACCTTTCCCAGTCGTGTTGATTTTCGTTTGATGAGTTGTTCCAAAAAAACTCTAGTCCTCGTAGGTTCGATTCGTTAGACTGCGCCATGTTAAAAAATTAGGATAACACTCGTAGTTGATTAAGAGTGGTAACTTAAACTAAGACTAGATTAAGACTAAGGTTGGTTAAGATTCCTACGATAAAATGTAGGCTTTTATTTAAGACTAAATAAAAGACGGTGATGCTATCTAAAGTAAGAGATGTTAAAAAGATTGAATTGGTTTCGGTTGATTTGTTGCATATCCTCAAAGATAGTGCGCAAACTCCAAGTCTGCCAAAAGCCGTTGCGCTTTTGGCAGGTGTATATAAATTAACAACGTAAAGGTCAACGATCAGTATAGAGGTTAAATGATCACACAAAAATACATTTTACAACCTACCTAGCGTACTTTGTCTATTTTTTCATACCCAGTATTCTATTTGGTTGTAAGTTTCTTTTTAAAGCCTGATATACAAATTCAATTGTTTCCAAGACTGCTCGTATCAGGGTGAAAACCTGAATGTTTCGACTGTTTTTGAGTTCGATGGAATAGTGCTGTTGTCGATGGAGTAATAACTTTTTTGAGATTTTTTTAAAAACATCCCCCACACGCTATGTACAGTACAAAATGATATATTTTGTTTATTATATTGTTTATAAATTCCGTCAGAATTTGCTAGTAAAACAGTCAAAAATTGTCTGTTGCTAGTTGCAAAGTCGAAATAAACCGCCGGCGCAAATATTTCGTCGTTGTCTTCAAACAAATTTTGTTAACTTTTGTCCTTTCTCCCCATGGTACAAGCCTCTCATTAAAAAACTAATTTAGCGGTTATTGTTCCGACTTTCGAGACGAAAGTAACGGAATATTTGTGCTCGGTGCTTTTTTCTTCAGACAAATTTCGACTTTTTGACTAGCCATTTTTGACGGATTTTTTTTTTATATCATTCAAAAGGTATTGTTGTCCTGAGCTTAAACTTGAAAAGATGTTTCACTATGAGCATTTTTCGTAAAGTTATGAGGGTTTAAAGATTGCCATTTTGACCAATTTGGGACAATTAACGCGCGATATAATTCGCGCTATTAACGCGTAAGCGGAGATTTAATCCGTCTTAGAAATCGTTCCAAATTGGTTGAAAGACGCTTATTTGCCATAATTGATTTGTTACAAGGAGCAAAATTTATTCTTTTGTAGTTTAAATGGCGTGTGGGGGGATAATTTCAAATAATGAAGAAAAAAAAATTAATTTTTTTGTTACAATTAATTTGTTAATGATATTTATGTTGTTAATGCTCCATAAACCTTGAAGGGCAGTCGGAACATTCAGGGCTTCGCCCTGATACGAGCAGTCTTGTTATATATAACTTTTGTACTATGTGACGAACCTTTGTACATCTACAAAGATTCGATGATAGTTTGCGTTTGGGAAATGATTATTTTTGAGAAAATGAGCGGTCGATCCCTGTTTGAAAATTGGGTGCAAAAAGTTGGCCTCCTCGGCTGTATATCGATTCAAATTAGCCCGACCTTTACTCAACGTATTGCAGCCCCGGCAGGAAAAATTGTCTCCATAATCGAAGTACCAGATCATCACCTTGTCAAAATCCGGATCCAACTTCACGCCTGTTATAGAGTCGAATTTGTGAAGCAATTTTATTGGATAATCTTTGAAGTAGCGGTATGAATGTGTTGAAATCTGATTGGTCGTTTGCGTTTTTGTTATTACGTCACAAAGTGTTCGAAACATTTGGTAAAGAGCGGGTGCGGTGTTTATTCGAGCAGTCAAATGGAGCAGAAGATGCTGAATATTGTGCTGCTTTGATGGCCATTTTACACCGTGGTTTTTCTGCTCCAAAATGTTGTGTAGTGCTCGAACCTGGTATCTGAAAGCAGAGTTGAAACTTTATTGCGAGTAATAAACAAATCGAAGATAGTTAAAAATGAGACCTCAACAATACAAAAAATCGATCTTTTTGGGAAGCGCCAAAGTTTCAAAAATCAATTTTATTCATACTTGGCCACAAAAAAAACCCAAAATGCGGAAAATAGAATGATTGATTTGACAAGAAGCTTTTCAAGATACAAAAAAGGCATTTATACTTGCAAGTTTATGAGGCATTGAATAGTTTTATTAGGTACTTTTTCTATGAATTTTTAGATGTTCAGGCCAAGAGGCCTGCGGAAGACCATGAATGAATCCGTGAACGAACACTTGAATACAACACTTGAGTTGTGAATTTTTGGTCTGGGACGGTTTTTGAAAAATTTTTTCGATATTTGTTTTGGATCAGCTATCGAAAACTTGAGCTCTGTCGATACCCCAGAATGAACACTTTTGGTAAAATCTTCTGCTCCAAGGCGCCCCAAGAAAACTTCTAGGATCGGTCAGCCAGAAATTGCAGTCGTAAAATAGTACCAAACGGTGTACTCTTTGGAAACATTTGTCATCCAGAATTGATAAAAAAGGAGGCGGTTGAACCCCCCCCCCCTTCTCTCTTCACGTATTTTTGATTACCTGAATCCGTGAATGAATCCCCCTGAAGAGTTGTGGTCATAAGAGTGGGCATTGGCGCCTAG